TAATCTCTTTTTATTAAATACTAGTTATAATTTCTTTAATTACATATATTTTTGAATTTTTTTTTATTGAAGATATGAGATTATAAAATTTTACAAAATTTGTACATTTTTGTATTTGAAAATAATTACCTACTTAAAGTTGACATGTCTTTAATTTTTAACAAAAATTATTTAATCATCTTGCAATAATATATTTTTATTGTATTATTAAATATTCTTACTGCATGAACATAATCATCAACAAACAATTCATAAATGTTTTTATTAAAAAAGTAATGTATTATAATATATGTTTTATATATACATACTTACAGTGTATGAAAACAATTTGGAGGATGATTTAAAAAGCGATACTTCTGGCCATTTTAAGAGGCTCCTAGTTTCACTTTCATGCGTAAGTAAATTTTTTACCTAATAATTTTGTAATAATTTTTTAATTATAAAATTACTTCAAATTATTTTAAACTTATAAAATTGTTTTCTTATTATATGTATATCCAGTAATATTCTTTCAATTTTTTAAAATTATAAATTAACTATAACTATAATATTATAATAAATGTATTTATTATAATATTATTAGTGCATGTATATGTGTGAAAATTAATAATTGAGATTTCTAAAGGAAATAATGTATTTAAACATTCTATAATATTCAATCATCTATCAATCATTTTCAAAAATGTCAGTAATATTAATATATTTCAATTAGTATATTTCAATAGTATATTTCAATATATATAATACATAGTCACTGGTTGACAAGGATAACACATTAAAAATTTAAAACGTTTCCGTGAAAAATGAATTTCTATTATAATACAAATATTAGTATAGTGTAATACAATATAAACATAGTATAAATATAAATTTAATGCATACATTGAATAGAATTTATGATAAATAGTAATTATAAGACTCGTTATGTTTTTTATACTTATTTTTTATATTAAATAATTTATATAAATATGGTTATCATAATGGACTAGAACAAAATATACATTACAGATCTATCCAATATCCAAACAACAAAATATTTTCATTTCCTTTACTTTTGTAAAATATGTTTAATACAATATGGTTTTATCATAAATTATTGATTTATGATAATTATTTGACATTTATTTTTTGACGAAGTATGTCAAAATATGTGTTTCAGTTACTGATAGTTAATTTAATCTAAATTTAAACCTTAATCTAACCTAAATTTTATATATGTGATATTGCAATTATGTTAATACATTTTATTTATATTTTACTTTTAACATGTTTTATATTATTTTTATTGTTATTGTTATTTAAAATACATAACTAATAAATTATTTTTAAATTATTTTATAGGCCAACAGAAATGAAAATCCTGATGTTGACGAACAAGCTGCTATTCAGGATGCTGAAAGATTACTTGAAGCTGGCGAAGGACAATGGGGAACAGACGAAAGTACTTTTAATGCTATTCTCATTACTAAAAGTTACTCTCAGTTACGAAGAATTTTTGAGGAATATGAACGTCTTGCTAGCAACAATTTAGAAGATGCTATTAAGAGAGAATTTTCAGGCTCTCTTGAAGACGGTTATCTTGCAGTTGGTAAGAAATATATATTAATTTTTATAA